AATCTTGCAATATCAGTAGCAGTCGCTTTGACCAAACTATACTAATATTATAGGGTGAAAATGTTTGTATGTGAGCTTAAGATAATCATGGAAACTACTTGCAAATATATGACTACTTTATTTTTTGTAGCACATGTATATGAGATTTATTATAGTAGTTTTTAACAGTGGTAGAGCCACATGGCAGATTTAGCTGTCGCACGGATGGGCCGGCTCGAACCGGGGTGGTACCACGACCTCACAGAAAACCAGCGTGAAGTAGAGGTTTACCTCTGCGTTTCGTTTGGTGAGTGCAGGTGGCCGGAGGCCCTTTTTACTGGAAATGAGGCATTCCATCTTAGTCCTCACGGGTGACAACGCATCTACATTTTGATTTGTAATAGAGGATAGATGTAGATGTCTATGGGCCGCAGCAACCACTTACCATCAGGTGGACTGTGTGCTCATTTGTCACCCTTATTCTATAAGAAAAAAAAAACATTAAAAATTTTAATAATTTACATGGTTAAAAAATTTAGGTAATAAATTTATGTAAAAAAATTTATGCAATAAATATATAGACAAAGTATACAAAGTATTTGTGTTTATAAAATTCTAAATATTATGCATTATATAAACAAAGTATGTGTTAAATAGAATCCCAATGACCTAAGCTCTCAAGCAACGTCCGACAGAACTGAGCGGGTCTTCCAGATCACAGAAACCCGAAATGATCCATTTCAATGGTTGATCCAAATAACACTGTTCATAAAACAAATCAATACATGCACGATTGGGTCACTAGAAATGAATGATTAACACATGTCTATTAGTGCAGATATTGGCAAGGATGTTGTTACTCTGTATGTTGGAAATCAGTTCTTTTTTGGTACAGCCAAATGTGTAGACATCAAATTACACATTAAAATAAGATATGACTGCTGAGGTGCTACGTGATAGAGTTTTAACCATGTGAAAATTTTATTATTTTGGTTACCTGATAAATAAGAAATATGAGAAATCATTGAATGATATAAACTTATTTTAGGTGGTTTTTATGTTGGTACTTAATAAACGTGTAAATTGCATATTAAAACTCATATTAAAGGTGTATTAAAAATACATTTTATTGTGATAGGTACAGAGCTATGTCTCAATATCAAGTATATACAGTAACTAAATACAAACTTGTATATGCATAATCAAATTGTGTAGTTCTTATACAGAATACTGCAAAGTTCTTGTAAAATTAATTTGACAGTAATTATGGACATTTTCAAATGTACTTCATTCCAAAAGGCTTTAAGTTTTACATAACAAATTTATGTTATTTAATATGTATCCATAGAGAATCCCATAAAGCTATGATATAATTTCATAGATCGTAAAGTATTCTAAATTGTCATTAAAGTATTTGTTTAGAGTAAATTGGCAATTCATGTGTATTCATTTGGCCTTACGGACACAGGCGTATTATCAATATTTAAACATAATTAACTATTCAAAATGTGCACATTAAAAATTGTAACAATATAAGGTTATTGTGATGACTATGTCACTACTGAATGCAATTTCAGTTACATTTATAAATTATGTAATGTAATATACAATGAAAAAATACTACAACTTATCCATGTCAAATAAACAATAAGCATATTAAGCTAATGCTTCCATAAATATATTACATGAAATAAAGCATAAGGTTAAAGTAACGTTGTAGGTTAAAGTAAAGTAAGGGTAAAGTAAGTTGAAGTAATATTGTTATTATAATAATACTTTTTAAAATATTTGATAATTAATGGACAGTGTTGGTGTATGCTACTTTGTTATAAATTATAAAATTGGAATCTTGGCATGTAATAAATTTTTAGTACTTCTATATAAAATGTGGGAAATACAGTTAATTAATTAGAAATACATGAAGTGGTGGTCTTTGGTGAAAAGAAATATTGTTTATGATTTTTAAAGTATTTATCATTTATCTTATGCTATATACTATCTACATAATATCTACTCAATAAAATAAATCATTGTTAATTAAAAGTAAAATGTTTGTAACAAAATCAATACAAATTATTAGAAATGATGAATAACTTTGTTCTAAATTTTCATTTTTGGTAATTTGTCATTATTAAGTACTAATATAACTCCATTCATTTAAAACTAAATGTGAAACAAAACACTTACAATTAATTTTATTATTCAAAACTTTCAGAAAGCATGTTGTTGCAGTGACAATAACCTATATGATACTAAAGTGGTAAGCTACTATAACATAAAATATTACAGAATATACACAGAACTAGCTGTGAAATGATGTAGAATGCAAGAATAGCTACAACATTTATATTTCTTGTGAGAACAAACCATGCAAATATAGAAGCAAAACCCTACTCTTGATAATTTTATGATAATCAGTCGGCTTTTATTTATGCTAATAGTTTAATACAATATTAGTTTCGGTCCCTCATTATAATATTCAGCAAATCTTGTTTTTCTCTTCTCACTTCCTAAAATTGCAAAAGTTTGCAACATAATACAATAATAGCATTTATCGTTGCAAATGCATGCTTTTACGTATATTCTAATTAAACTTTATAAATACAGTATTCATCGAACATAGTATCTGCATAAAGCAGTTTCTTATAAATGTAACACATTCACCAGCAAGCTAATCACTTGTGTGCTTTGTTAACACTTTTAGACTCAAATGTCAGGTTTTCTTCAATGTTACGTTCTGAAGGATTTTACACAATTTTTTTAATGGTAGTATATTTAAAAACGGATATTTCCTAACATCAATCTTCAAATTGTAATATAATACTGGCGAATGAATTAAGTTTTTAAGTGATTAATTTTTTTTTAATTACTTATTCATACTAAGTTTTGTGTAAATGATATTATTTCTAATTGATATCTCTACATTCAGTCTGTTTTATATATTTTTTGTGGAATGTATTTAAAAAAAATGAAGATATTAAATGAAAAAGCCTTTTTGTCAATTAATGTATTGTTGTTTTTTTTTTAAATATTTAACAAAATACATAATTTTATCAATTTAATTACTAGACTTCATTCAGAGCGCGTACAAATCCCCGTCTGTCAATGGAGACCTTATTAATTGTGACACGTTACCAATCAGACCTGTCAGCAAGCAGGTAGTGATTGGCGAAACAGGGCGAAACTAATGCATGCATGTATAGATCGAGCCCTATTGAGATGAATGGAAAAATTATGTATGCGCCAAAGTCGAAGTTAAAGCAAATTTTGAATAATCTTAGTAACAGCTCACAATCTTTTATTAGTGAATGTTTATATCTAATTTTGCCTCTAAAATGTGCACACTATTAATGAAAACGATTAAAATAGCCGAAAACAGAGGAGAAACTATTTTTTTTCCTACCAAGAAAATATTATCCTAATAAGTATTTGACAAATTACAGCACTTAGAATGACAATGACAGCTTTATTTTCAATTTTGAACATTATTTTCTTATGTAAAAATACTAAAATTGCTATTTAAGCGTGTTTTTGTAGATTCCGTAATTAAATCGTGTAAAAGTTATATCTAATGTAAATTCGTTTTTATTTTCATCACATGAAAAAAAAAAGAAGTAATAAATGATCAAACGCTCCCGTCCTAGCTATAGTGTTTGCCGAGAGAGACATCTTCAACTTTCGACTAAGCTAACTACACTATTTTTGCGCTATACATATAACACACACATATATAATGTAATACATACATAATCTCTTTATGATGTACACAACATAAGTTATTGTTTACTTACTCTACCAAGCATGACAACTACGGCAAATGAGGGGAGGCCCATATTCAGGAGTGGATTTAGCTTTAATGATGTATAATTTGAAAACTAATTCCTCTTAAATAAAAAGTCAGCAATCGCTTTGCATAGCATGCAATAGAGAATGCCGGCCAGAACTATTACATCCTTCTACAAAATGGAAAATGATCACAACAATCTCATATAAAATAGGGGTGTTTATCTGAAATTACATCGATATACACATAAGTAATGTGAACTGCGCAAAAACTTGACATATAAGGAAGTTAGGAAAGAATGTATACTTAATTTATCTTACGGCTGCGAGCGAGCTTCACTTGTAGTTCTGATGCTTGCTTGTGGAACAAAATAACATAAGTTACCGAAGTACATTTAGCTAGTAGTGATATAAATTATTTTTCGCTTCCAGCAAAAGGAATTTATTTACATTTATACCACAATTTGGATCTTAATAACTTTCAGTGAATTTATATTGTCCTGAGAAAATAAAACACAGTAGTAACCGTTTGACGCACCTAAAATAAGCAATACATAACTAAAAACTAATAATTACATCATGTTACAATCAAACGATCTGCTGCTTAGCAAAGGGCACAATAATTTTCCTACCTGAACAACTTTTCTCCACTTTCCAATCTGATGGTACCAGCTTACACACACTTTGTCACATAAAACCGCCAACTCCTTTTCCCGCAGAGAAGTTTCACGACAAGATGTGATAGACCAAAAGACTGGACATTGACAAAATTATGGTAACCTAACCACAATGTCAAAGGTCATATTGAAGAAAAAAATATGCACATGTTTTAGTGTGCGTAATTGTAAGCTCTAGAGATAAAATATGTATAGCTGACCTAACAGTAGTTTGTAAAGCAAAATGTGGCATAAAATATCCGTCCCAATATTTTTGCAAAAGGTGCCGAAAGGGCCGTTTTGAATCTATTCAACTTTGCAGAATGCAGAGTGGTGTGTCTTTCCTAGTGTAGTGGCGCTGGGAGTAGAGGTGACGGGGATAGTGCACGCAATTGAGGGAGGGTGGGAGGTGCTCTTCAAACTAGGTGAGACACATCATTGTATTCTATAACGCGGATCTTAGCCAATTCATTTTTAATATAATGGATTTCCGAAAAAACGCCTGATTCAATTAATTGTCGAATGAATCAAGGTACAGATACTCTTTCGAGAGGTGCTTGTGATTTTTTTTTAATTTTTTTTAGTGTAGTTATTGCATTAGTTCCATAATTTATTAGGTCCATTATTTAATAAACGAAAAAAAAGTATTTTAGTTTAGGCCGTTAAATATACTAAAAATGGACACTCGCCGTAATTTTCGCCGTATATTAATTCGGTCAGCAGACCTTCTTTATACACCGTGATACATTTAAAAATATGACGCTGCACAAACGACATTTGAATTTCTTCTGTCGAAAAATTGATTGCTATTTACATAATATAACATAACAATATTAATTTGACATGCAGTGTTGTTTTATTTTTAACCCTCGACGAAAAAGAGGGGGTGTTATATGTTTAATGTGTGTATCTGTGCGTTTGTCTGTGGTAGCTCCTAAACGGATGAACCGATTTAGATTTACTTTTTTTTTTGTTTGATAAGTGACTTGATCCAGTATTCTTAAGCTATGATTCATGAAAATCTTTTCAGCCGTTGGAAGATCATCAGCCTTACTAATCATATTTTTTTTATAGCGAAATAAATAACTAAATGGAATATTTTCAAATAATATAAATTATTTCAACTTAAAATCGAATAAGTTTTGAGCCACTATAAAAATAGCAAGTTCAAATTATACAATTCATTATATGACACCATATGGCGGTGTAAAAAAATAAATTAGGGGTTACGGTGATAGACTTCCAGTACTTCGATTGCTATTACAAAAAAGTAATACGTATATAGACTTACATAAGCCCTACTGCTAGGTACAAGGAATTTTTTACTGAGAAAGTGTTAGGGCAGGGATGCGTCCGTCGCGATGCTCCGATGCATACGACACCACATGTTTTTTTTGAGTCAGCCAGCCAGCCAGGCAGCCAGCCAGCCAGGGTTGGTTGGTGAGGTTGCGTTGCCGTGCGGCACGAGCACGCGCAGATCTAGTCGAGCAGCGCGGGCGCGCGGTGGTGCGAGGAGAGCTGCGCGGCGAGCTGGCGCTGCTGCAGCAGGCAGTAGAGGATGCCCGCCTGCGCCATGGCGTCCACGGTGCCGGCCGCCAGCTGGTCGGCGCGCTGCTTGCCACCCGCGCCCGCGCCCGACGGCCGCAGCAGCGTCGGCCCGAACACCGTCGCCAGGTTGTGCAGCGACATCTTGTTATCCGCTTCGTGCTGGTTCACCCTGTGCGGTTAGTGTTACATTTAGCATCCGTTCCCCTGACAACTTGCCGTTGTGAAATAGTGGACGTGGAAGGTGGATGAAAAATCAGGGCATTGCAGTGGAGGTAGAAATCAAAGTCAAAGTAAAATTAAAAATATTTTTATTCAAAACTAAGCTTCAATAAGTCACTACTGCGTGAAATCTTGTAAGAAACGGCAAGATTCTGATAAGTTGATTATTTTTCTCTCTTTGTGTTACAATTAAACCCTAAAAAATATATAAACTAATCAAGAAAATTTAAGAAAGAAGTCATCTAATTTAAACCTTTTGCATTCGATTTTTTTTAACATGTGCCTTGAATTTATGTAAAGCCAACTCAGTAATATATATCTTGTTATAAATAATAATACATATACGGTGGATGTATTACTATTTATAACAAGATACAATAATACAGATAACAAGAAGCAGCCCTCATCTACCCAAAATATGCTGCTTTTTATGGAACTTATATAAGTAAATGATATAATGAGAATAAATAAGTATATAATACATAATTGAAAGTATACATAAAATAAAATTCAGTTAAATATGTAAATCGACAATTAAGATGAAGATTTTAATACTTACTTAACAAAATGATTGAGGAGAAAGTCTATGCAGTTCTTGTTGAGATCGGGCAGCTGCGCGTAGCATTTGAGTAGTGCATGTCGTCTTGTATGCGCTGGTCCCGAGTCCACAGATGTCCCCACACCCTGAAATAATTTTACGTTAATATTTTATAAACAAAAAACAATTTTGATTTTGTTGTTTGTGTGTTGTCAATTAAAAGCTGTTGAGCCATTATAAGAATTATAGACAATATATTCTATAAAAAATGGTTGCAGATAATATAATAAAACGTTATTCAATCAACCAATCAATCAATAAGCCTTTTATCCTGAACATTTTTCAATGGTTGTATAAATTATTGTGATGTTTACAGAATGTCTTTCAGTGTAGTGTGCCTCTTGGCAAAGGCCTCTTCTAACATCTTCCATTGCTTTCTATCTCTAACAATCCTTCTCCAATTTGGACCGGCTGTTAATTTTATCTCATCCTCCCATCTTTTCCCTTGCCTTCCTCTTTTCCTTTTACAAAGTCTAGGATACCAATCAGCAATAATCTTGCTCCACTTTTCTTGAGTACTTCGCATTATATGGCCCGTCCATCTCCACTTTAGTTGGTCTATCTTTAAAAGCACGTCTGTTACTCTAGTTTTTGATTGTATAAAGGTGTTTCTTTTTCTGTAGTGTTTTTTAACGCCAATCATTCTGCTTTCCATAGCTCTTTGACGTGTTCTAGAATGTCCCTGTGATGTTTTGTGAGGGACCAGGTTTCACAGCCGTGAGGCAGGGAAGAATGCAGGTATCAAAAACTTTCCGTTTGCTTAGTTCAGTTGATTTCATTACCTCTTTTAGGTACCAGTATTTTTTCCAGCTATTATTCATCATCATCATCATTACAGCAATTCACAAGTCCACTGCTGAACATAGGCCTCCCCCAAGGAAAGCCACAAAGCACGGTCCTGAGCCACCTGCATCCATCGACTTCCTACACATCTTACCAGGTCGTCACTCCATCTAGTGGGGAGGACGCCCTACACTTCGTTCGCAAGTATGAGGCCGCCACTCGAGAACCTTTTTTCCCCATCGGTTGTCGGTTCTTCGAGCTATATAACCGGCCCATTGCCACTTCAGCTTACTAATCCGTTGGGCTATCTTTCTGGTTCCACTGCGGATATCCTCATTTCTAAGTTTATCACGCAGAGAAACTCCGAGCGTAACCCTCTCCATAGCTCAATGAGCGACCTTGAGCTTCCTCATACGGCCAGCAGTGAAGGACCGCGTCTCAGTTCCATAGGTCATCACTGGCAACACGCACTGGTAGTACAGCCTCGTTTTCAAGTTTTTTGAGGTATACCTGACGAGAAGATGTGCCGTAATTTACCGAACGCTGCTCAACCGAGTTGAATCCGCCGATTGACCTCTTGGTCGTAGTTGGACTTACCTAGTCGGACTATTTGTCCCAGGTAAACATACTCGTCAACAACTTCGAGCTTAGTACTCCCAACAACTACCGGCATAGGTGTGACAATGACATTAAACATTATCTTTGTTTTGTCCATGTTCATCTTAAGACCTATCCGTTGGGAAACACTATTGAGGTCATTGAGCATAGTGCTTAGGTCCTCCAGCGATTCTGCCATAAGGACTATATCGTCGGCAAATCGAAGGTGAGTGATGTACTCGCCATTGATGTTAATACCGTATCCTTTCCAGTCCAGAAGCTTGAAAACGTCTGCCAATACAGCAGTGAAGAGTTTCGGGGATATAACGTCACCCTGTCTTACACCTCTCTGCAATTGGATAGGTTTCGTACTCTGGTTCTGTACTCGGATAGCCATCGTAGCCCTACTGTAAAAACACTTCACCACTTCGATATACAGACAGTCAACTTGGCAAAGCTGAAGGGACTGCAGCACCTCCCAAATTTCGACGGAATCAAAGGCTTTCTCATAGTCAACATACGCCAGACATAGTGGCAAATTGTACTCCTCGGACTTCTGTACAATTTGCCGAAGGGTATGTATGTGGTCTATGGTGCTAAAGCCTTTTCGGAAACTGGCTTCCTGTGGGGCCGCTTCTGGAAGAAAGGGTTCATCATAAAGAGTCCCTCTTTTTCCATGAAGTCGGCCAGCTGCTAGCCCCTTGGGTTCCGTTGCCCTATTCCGAATTTCCTTACTTTCAGGTCACCGTTCTCTCTTGTGCCTAGTTAAGCGTTGAAGTCTCCCATTAACACCGTATAGTGGGTTTTGGAGGAATGCATGACTCTAGAGATATCTACATACATTTCCTCCACCTCCTCTCATCGGGGTGTGCTGAGGTTGGTGCGTAAACCTGTATGACCTTCAGCGAATACCGTTTGGTGATTCTGAATAAAAGATACGCAACCTTCGTCGACACACTCCCAATCTTTACAACGTTGTTAACGAGAGACTTGTGGACGATAAATACCCGACACCTCCTTGGGACCGATGGTCGCCCTCCCGGTGATAGAACAAGTTGCCGGATTCGAGGGTTACCATGTCCTCCCTATCTCTTCGGACCTCGGATAATCCTATGATATTCCAGCGCAACTTGTCTATCTCTTCTTCCAGCTCCCGGATCTTCTCGTCAGACCTCAGGATGCGTGCCTTATACGTTGCCAGGTCGAATCGTCGTAGGTGGCAACCGAACCTCCACCGGAGATTCTTAGCACCCCCTGCCCCGCCGTATAGCGGGGCCGCCGGGAACGGGGGCCAATTTTTTGTAACTTTTATCATGGGTATATTGCCATAGTTGCCACGCTTGGCGAGCGGATTGGTAACCGCAGTTTTTTTTATTGTTGTTTTGCTGTTCAAGATCAGAAAGATGCTGCTGCCCATCCTCTGCCTCAGTTTCCCTCTGTCGCCTCTTACGACACCCACGGGAAGATATGGGGTAGTGAGTATTCTTACCCGCCACTACACGGGCTCCAGCTATTAGCTATCCTTTTATTGATTTCTTTGGTAGATTGGTCTTTACGTGAGATGATTTGTCCTAGGTAAATATACTCTTCTACGTACTCGAGAGTATGGTTGTTAATTTTGATCTTTCGGTTTTCGCAGTTTGTTAATAGTTTAGTCTTGTTTATGTTCATGAATAATCCGATTTTCTCACTTTCTTTGTTTAGGTCTTCAATCATTTTCCCTAGGGTATTTGGGTTTTCTTCAAATAAGACAATGTCATCTGCAAATCTGAGATGATTAAGTTTCCTTCCATCTATGCGTAAGCCACATTGGTCCCAATCCAATTTTCGGAATATATTTTCTAGTACCTTGGGAGATAATAAATCCCCTTGTATAACTCCTCTTCCTATCTTAAACACATCCCCTAGTGTTTCCAATTGAATTCTTGCCTTGCTGTGAGAATATATGCTTTTAATGATCGTGATGTATGACGAAGGGATACCCTGCTCCTTTAGACTTTCCTATATGGCTTCATGACTGATACTGTCGAACGCTTTGGTGTAGTCGATAAAGACCACAATATATAGAAGTCTGTTGTACTCCTTGTACTTTTCTACGATCTGTTTCACTGTATGTAAATGATCTATCGTAGAAAAGTTTTTCCTAAAGCCGGCCTGTTCCATGGGTTGGTTTTCATCCAATGTTGTGCTTATTCGCCCAAGAATGACCTTAGACAAGACTTTATAGATGTTCGACATCAAACTTATTGATCTGTAGTTTTCTATGTCTTCTTTTGGGCCCTTTTTGTGTATTAGAATTATATGAGACGTTTCCCATTGTTTTGGAATGCATGCTGATAGTAAAATTCGTTAAAGATTTTAGTCAATATAGTAATAGGAACCAATGCTTCCAGGGTCCCTTTTAGTAACTCATTTGTGATTTTATCAGGGCCTGGCGATTTGTCGGGCTTTTGACTAAGTATCGCTAGTCTAAGTTCACTTTGTAAGATTTCAAGTTCAGAGTTTAATACTGAAGTGGAAATTATCTACTTTGATTTACAGTGTCTCTGCTCGAATAAAGGTTTCGATAGTATTTTGAAGCTGTTTTATTAATATCTTCGATTTGTGATTTTATTGTGGCTGTTTTGTATTTGTTTTGTTGTTTTGTATCCCTGGATTTGATCCACGCAGTGCTTTAAGAGCTTTTCTGGTTCCTCCTGTCGATAAAATATGTTTTTCTAGGGTTTGTAACCTTGTAGTATAACCGTTTAGTTAGATGTTCTGCTTTTTCATTTTATTACTGAATAGGCGTTTCCTTTCATTTATTAACTGCACTGTTGTCTTACTTAAATTGTACTTATGTTTTCTAGCCAGGTTTTTAGCGCTAAGGCAGATAACCTTTTTATTTAGCTTAGCATAACTAGATTCTACATGTGCTGTCTGTTACTACTAGTTCTCTGCAAAGATTTTCCATGGAACTTGATTTGAATTCGTTGATTTCCATATTATTGACTGTACTAGGTTGGACAAAGTAGTTTCTAGTCTTTTTAGGTGAGCTTATATTAAATGATGCTCTTACCATGCGATGATTTGTATTGAAATTTAAGCTCGATACTACTGATGTGCCTGTCAATAATTTTGCGTGGCTACATATAATGTAATCTATTTCGTTTCTATATTTTCCATCTGGGGATATCCAAGTCCACTTGTTGTTTACATTTTTTTTAAATAAGCTGTTCAAAAGTATTAGATGATGTTCAAGTAAAAAGTCTATCAACATTTGTCCATTTTTGCTTCTTTTACCATGGCCAAACTTTCCCAGCACATATTCGTCGTTATTATGCTTAGCTCCTACTTGCGCAAAACTTATTAGATGTTCTTAAAAGAGGACGAGAAAGAAATTAATTTACCTGTGTAGATCCCCAAGCGCGAAGCAACTCTGGATATAGTGCATCTGTGAACAGCGCCTCAGGCAATTCGCGTAGATATAGCTTCAGTACACCCGTAACGGAATGTATATCAACTTCTTTCAACAACTGTTCCGCTTCATATGGATCTGTTTACAATTCATACAAAAAATAGGTTATAAGTCCACAACTGGGCATAGCGCATTATTTTTACTTAAAACTAATGTGATAGACGAAATTACAGTCCACGGTAAGTGGCTACTACAATCCATGGAAACCTGCAACCAACTACAAAACGAAGAAAGCTACAGATGCGCTGACACTTCTGAAGACTGAGATGGAATGCATCGCAGGCTGTAATTATACTGGCTCTTTATACCGTTCAGAGCGGAACACAGCAGTGCTCGGACTGCTATTTTTCGGCTGAAATAGGTAAGGGGTCATGTCTCGAGTTTGAAATTTATCAGCCCGTAAAAGTACATTGTTGGACATTGCCCTCCTTCATTGTAGAAAGGGTTTGTCCTTATCAGACAGTCAGGTGGTACGAGGCTACTTCAACTCATGGTCATCTGCAACAAAATGTAAACAAAATAGGATACAGATGCGTTGTCATCATACTTGCACGTAATGCTTTTCGGACCGGAACACAGCAGTCCGTGTACTGCTGCTTGACAGGTTGACAGCGGTAATAGGTAAGAGGATGACAGACCGACAAACTTCTAGATAGAAAAATAGCCCCGTCACCTAGTGTTTTAATATCATAATTGGACATAGTTATACAAAAACGTTCCAACCCACATGTCATTCAAAAATGATTTCTTCTTTAGTTTTTGGCTTCTCTTAACCTTTCAGCTGCGGATGTCTAACACTTGGACACGAAAATATCTCCGTTGACTGCAGACTGCAGGTGTCCAAGTGTTAGACATTTTTTACCCGCTTTTTTAATGAAGAAACAAAGCATTATGCACTATGTCTAACTTATTCTACCATATATCGATGTGTACAGGATAAAAAAGGATAGCATAAAAACACCCCAGCTCACACACTTTTGTAGGATTTTTTATCAATATCATGTGTTGATTTCGTCTGTCCCTTGAGTCAGCCATCAGTGTGAATGACGCGCGCCAATATCGGAGATGTTTGCAATTATTTTGTACAAATTTTGATTGACTGTGTGGTGAATTGTGTTAAAACAATACCTGGATAAGTAACCTTCCTATTTGTAACCTCATTTTGTGTTTTGTCTCATTTAGTACGTGTGAAATGGTTTTTTTATTTGTAATAAGCAAACCGCTATCTTAGAACTAACAAGCAGGTTGCGGAAAGTTGACTTGAAATGTATGTAAAATTTTAGTGTTTGCTGTCAGTTTTTTGTTAAAATATGTATAATTGCTCATCATTCACAGTTTTAATACATCAAAATGAGGATAAGGTGCAATATTTTCAATATTTCAATGTAAATACGCAATAGGTGCAACGGTGTTCATTTCTGAGACGCCCGCAGTAGTGGATTCTAGTTCTCCGTTTTGCCGGTGGCGAAAAAAGGAATTAAAGTTTGCCATACTGCATAAAGGTCAAATTCGGATGAATTGTTAGATTGGTAAAGAAACTAGCGCCCTCGAGCAGACAAACGGAGCTTTGTTTGACTCCACGATCATTCGATGATTTAGGAAAAACTAGATTTGGCATTTGGATGTGCCATTTGTGTTATCACAAGGCTTCGGAATTTTTAATACAATTAACTTAAAAGGAAAAGTAGAAAGTATTTTATTTTTTAATATATAATATTTAAAATTTTTATTTATTTTTCATCTATACAAATAAATAAAATTGGAGTGTCTGTTTGTAATGTTAAAATAACAGCTTTTCATTAAATACATATAAAAGTATAAACGGTATTTATAACAAAAACACATTTTTTTTTAATTTTTGTCTGTCTGTCTGTTTGTTCCAGCGAATCTCCGAAATGGCTGGACTGATTTTGATGGGATTTTCACTGGCAGACAGCTAATGTTATAAGGAGTAACTTAGGCTACTTTTATTTAAGAAAAATAATTAGGGTTCCGCGCAAAAAAAAAACCTAAATTATACGCGGGCGAAGTCGCGAGGAACAGCTACTATTAATATAAACATTTTGTGGAATTTAAAGTCATTTCAGAAATATATTTTAGCTGTTTTATTAATGTACATTTTATTTGTATATTAAGTACTTTGCATAATTCGTGAATCAAAAAGCATTAAAAAAATCGATTATGTGTGAATCTACTTTTTTAAATATATATTTATTGACTAATGCATTAATGCCGCATCCAGTCCGAACTACATTCTACATCCGTGTAAGTTAATTATTGGGTACTTGTAAGCTTATTTTTATTACGTTTAATGATAAAAAATTGTATTGTAGCCTATGATTTTGCAGACAAAATATTGTAAATAACAGATTTAAGGTTAAAATAAAATGAAATTGAACTATTAAAAAACTGTTTCATTGAGAAATATGACAATTTTGACTTTACTCAACATTTACTTACACTAATTGCTTTGGGACTTTATTAAATTTATGTACCTATTTATAGGAAATTTCATAGAGAATTCAGAATTGTATACATTTTATAGTATTTGATAAACCAGAATCAAGAAATTTGCGTTAAGGCGAACTGCGCTCAATCAGCCGTCGATTTTATTAAACAGCTCCGCAGTCAACGGAGTAGGGGGGTTAGAGTCTTCGCAGTTGAGAGGTTAAAAGAATTCTACCAATGTCAAGTCAGTCATGGGAGTGACAATCAAAAATGAGTTAAATATACAGATCTAATTATTTTGACATTTTCGCGAAGGTGTCAAAATAAGTAAATCTGTATATTTAACTCATTTTTGAATGAGTTGTGGGTTGCAACGTTTTGGTATAACTAGGTCCAATTGTAGTCTATATCCATATGCACAACCACATAAACCGAATTAGTTTGTATATGTAGGTATAGACGGACATTCAACTATAAAGGTTCTAATATGACTATGAAACCCTAATATACGAGTTGTATTGGAGTCACAATGAATGCTAGTAATTGGTGAGTTGGCTAAAATGCCAATCCCAACACCATAACTTCGCCTGAATAATGACACGGCAATGTTTAGAAGTGGCAGTGATAAATAGGCGGTACGCACTGGTCTCGAAGCTCTTCCTGAGGCGGTTGAGGTCGGAGGCGCTGCCGGACACGCGGTACACGCCCACCTCGTGGATGCCGCGCCGCTCCACCTCGCGCACGCACGCGCTGATTATGAACGGGATGGTGCGCTTCTCGCGTCTGATCACACCGTAAATAAAAACCATTATGTAGTTTTTTTCTTTTTAAGACTAAGGCTGAAAAGCAAGCACTGTGGTGGACTGTCCACCTGATGATGTCTTTAATTAAGAATCGAAATGCAAACAGCGGCTGACGGCTGTGGTTCACGACACCAAATGCTGAGTGCGACCTTTTTTCATCACATTCGGTAACGTCTATACTATTTTGTTATTAATAATAACGTTAAAAATAAACAAGAATGTACAATATGGTGACGTGCTTATGTGGCACATAAATATTTTCTTTCTTTCTATATGTTATTAGTTATTACCCTTAACGACTAAGATGGAATGTCTCGTTTCCAGGTCTCCGGTTCTCAACACTTATATGTGTATGTCAAAAAGCATTGAATAATATTTATCACCATCATCATACCCCATCAAAAGTCCTTTGTTAAACCCTTCCCCCATTCTTCCATTAAATTAGACAATCTTACACAGTATATTGTGGTTCTACATTACAGTAATAAGGGTTACTCTGTTTCTAGAAAAGTCTATATTATAAAAATCTCTCAGATTAATAATGTTAAAATGTACACTGTTAAGACGGTATACATTTTGACAAAACATTAAGAAAACACATAAATTGTAATGTGTGTGTGGTTGTGGTTTTCATGCAATTATAATCAGTATTACTTTTACATGAACACAATCACCATAAAAATCAAACTGATAAACCAATATTTGTTTTACGCAAATCGATGGAGATTTAAGAATTGTGATTCAACTCAGTTAAATTCAAGTACTGTGACTGCTTCTTCACTATTAGCTTGCAAATGTCTAAAGCTGGATATGGGCCTTTCCTACCGTAGAAAATAGATTTGCGTATTCACCTCTCTTGGTAGTATACGTATTTTTTATGACGACTGTCAGTCACCTATTATTCAATGAAACTATTGGATAAAAAGGACGAAACAAGTGCTTCGATGGTGATGTGTATTTCGAGATAATATATCTGCTTAGCCGTCTTGAGATACTACAGTTATCAACTGTCTGTTGGCTCAAGTTGACGTCAAAATATTTCAAAAACTTAACAATGCGGCGCATCAACATATTGCGAAGAACTTTTTAATTAAATTAATATAAAAGATTATATGGTACCAGGCGCGTTGCTGTGATTGAAGAAATATTGTTTTAAATTTGAAAGATTTATATTGTTTCATTAAGAATGATAATACATCATTGAAGTTTAATATCATTCATATATTCAGTCATATATTCACCTACTGTAAGTTGATTATACTATGCCTATAACCTTCGGACAAGTGCAGACAATAAGTTGACAAAGTTTTAGCGTAATTTGATGAACGATATGGCAGCGCATAAAATACGACAAAGCAAATTTTTTTTTTATATATTAGATAATTTGTTATTAGTTGACACTGGCTAGTACAGCAGTACGTGTCCATTAGTAAAGAAAAAAAAATTGTGTGTGTGTTACTTGGCGACTTGTGCGATCTTGGCGCCGAAGAGCGCGCCCGGCTTGGCAGAGGGCACGCGACGCTCGGAGCGCTCGGGCGGCAGCAGGCGCAGGCGCAGCGGCAGCGCGCCGCCGCCCACGCTCACCGTGCGCGCCACGCCGCCGCCGCACGCGCTGCCCACCGCCCACTCGCGCGACAGCTGCCCCACCACACAAGCAAGTTAAGCTGCTTTCACACTTGTATCATTTTACTGTTTTTTTTTAAAGGATAGGGTGACAAACGAACACACAGTCCACCTGATGGTAAGTGGTTGCTGTGGCCCATATACATCTACATTTATCCTCGTCTGCGAATCAAAATGCAGATGCGTTGTCACCCGTGAGGACTAAGATGGAATGCCTCTTTTCCAGTAAAATGGGTCTCCGGTTCTCTACACTCACCATACGAAACACAGCAGTGTCAAGCTGCTATTTAACGCTGATATTCTGTGAGAGCGTGGTCCTTCCCCGGTCGAGCCGACCCATTCATGCTACTATACTACTAATATAGCTGCAGCATGGCTCTTACCATTACATACTATCCATTGTGTATCGTATCTCCGACGCGTACCATCAACGTGTATCAGTTTCGCTAGTGTGGACGCAAAATGATACGCAATCATTGTAACTTGGTACACCCCGATCCGTATATAATCGCGTATCTGATACATGTCGTATCGCATACGTGTATCATGATTAGCAGAATGATCGTAATATGTAGGCATTTTGACACTGTATCACGATACGTCTATGTCATTTGATACATGATACACCGCAATCTATCTCGAAGCAGTTTTTTCTCGATCATCAATGCCGATACACAATCTAGACAAAATTGAGCGTCTACACATGACAACGCGTTAGTGACACGGTGACAAGATACAGTATCGTAAGAGTGGACGTAGTTTATGGCATAACTGTGGCATAACACGGTGAGAAATACGATCGGTGACAAGATACAGTATCGTAAGAGTGGACGTAGTTTATGGCATAACTGTGGCATGACACGGTGAGAAATACGATATGGTCGAAATGGGCGTCCACAAATACTCGATAAGCTTGATTCTGAAATTTATGATGACACAAGCGTGATACAAATGTGGACCCAACTTTATGTATTTACTGTGCAGGACTAACCGTGTAGTGGCGTTGTAAGAATATCGACTATTCCATAACGTCTCATAGGTTTACGTAAGAGACGTCAGAGGGAAACAAATCAAGAGATGTGCAGCAGCGTATTCCTTATAACAACTCAAAATAATAAAAAACTGCGGTTGATGTGTTTGCTTCATTCATTCTATCAAATTTCTATTTTTATTAAGTCTAACCTTTAGTGTGCATTTTCCTCTTAGTACAGGTCTCGCGGCATCTTCGTACAGTAGCAAACGCAGGTTCTGAGATCCTTCGAGATCTAGAGTGAAACTTTCGTTCCAACGCGGTTGGGCGCTGCGGCACACTAGTTTCGACTTCGCCTTGCGAAAATAGTGACCGTAAGAATCCACTTCCACTACAATGTAATAATCTGTAAAGAAACGATTTTCAAATATATTTTTATGAGGCATGCTAGTATCTGTTATGGTTTTGTTTAATTTTTTTTCTTATTTTTCACTTTACCTCCACACTAGAATTTTCTCCTGCATCGTGGGGGTAGTTTACATACACAAATTTCTCAAAGACAAACATCCAGACTCTGAACAATTATTTGTAGGCTATACAAATACTTGTTCCGTGCGGGATTCAAACCCGCAACCCTTGGCGCTGCAACTCATTGTTAAGCTACTGCGCCACGGAGCCATGCATGCAGCATGTTACATGACTTTCGGTTATAAAAACTTAAAGTATTACTTCTTAGGGAGTTTTAATATTATTTGCCAACAAGGCAATGGGCATTAATACCGCCCTGTGTCCTTTGATAAGACATGGATTTTTTTCCATCATCGCTGCATGCACGAGTTAAGCGCGCGACATTCGGTGTACAAAAAAATCTGTTAATGATTACCAACTCTAAAGAATCGATATCGATATCTCTTAAAAATCGAATATTGAAGGTACTGATTTTTCAGTTGGAATGCCTAGACCAATAAATGTAACAGCTGTCAAAAGGTATTTCTTAAATTCGGTGGAGTATAAAATACGATAATATTTTGTCCAAGGTGGTGTAACCTGCGGCGGTGTCAAGCGGCGCGGTCATGCCGCCGATGTGCAGCTGCAGGTCGCCCAGCAGCAGCGAGTCGTCGCGGCCGCTGCGCAGCAGGTACGAGCCCATGTCCGTCTGCAGGAAGCTGCGGCACGCCGTCACCCACGCCTGCAGCTCTAGCATCGAGATCGCGCTGCAACCGCCGGGCGGCGCTGACGACGCCTGCCAATCACATACAAAACGGTATTACACCCATTTTCTAATAGTGTTTTAAATGAATCCTAGAGTGATAATGAACCACTATAAATTTAGATACATTTTTTAAAACCGAATAATGCCATAAAAATTACTTTTAATCTATCGTTTTAAATTTTCGCGCGAAAACGCTAGCCACCACGCCGTTCAGCTTGTGACGTCAATGCGCTAGTAAATAAAACAATTTTGCAAAGGATTAAGAAATGTGTAAAATATCCTATTAAACTTACTTTATTTACACATAAAAGTAATTACCATAACCACAATCCAGAACTGCTTTAAAAGTTTTAGGAGCCGGTGGCGTCTTCTTAGCGCTAATTGCGCTATTAATTAAACATTTAAAAATTAAGTTAAAAATTTACAGCTGCAAATTATATTTTCATTTATAAATAGATTTTCATCTATAGTGTTTCAACACCTTAAACATACCAAATTATTTTTAAAAAAAAATATGTTTAGAGATGGTCTCTATGTTCCTATCAAATGTTACATACAACATTACAAGATAAGTTAATATATTATTAACTTATCTTGTAATCAATAGACTAGCAGCAAACATGACTACATTTTGATCTTGGCGGCGTTATCAATCCATTCAATGAATCATTCTCTTTTCTTCGATTTCATCCACTTATCAGCAGGGGGACTGTGTGCTCGTTTGTCACTCTTATTCTATAAAAAATATTTCGGGCTAATGAAGAAGAATTATGTGACATAAAACAACAGATTATAAAACATCATAAATGCTCTATTTTACTCTATAACCCAATATAAATCAATTAGACTTATTAGAAAAATTATTAGTTATTAAAACTCTTAATTAATTAAAAAGAAAATATAAAAGGTGTTTGTATAAGAAAAAAACTTACTTGCAAAGCATGTATAGAATCTATCCATTGCGTGCGCTCGTACTCTGAGCTGAGGAAAAATATATGTTGTCGCTGTAACGCGTTCGAACCTCCGGGAGCCTTCGCACCCACACGTAATACGAGATTCGGCGATGCCAATACCAATTGCCCTTCCAACTCTGCCAATTTCTTACGTTGCTTTTCTGCTACACCGCGGCTGCCGATTCGGATTTTCTGAAGTTAAAAGTAATTAGATTTTATTTTGTGGAGGGATAATTATCTAATAATGATATAGAATATGGATTAGGAAACTTAAATGTCGTTTGTTCGATTCTGCCATGTCATCGTGAACCATCATAAGTCAAGCATTTTACGCTTAGAGTGAATTCATACGGCGCGTTGCATTGCGTTGCGTCGTCGCAACGCAAAAAATTTGACGCATTACCGTCCACACAGACGCTGCGTCATCGCACAACGCAATCGTAACGTTCCATCGTCCAGTTTCAGCATTTTGTAAAAATATCGCAGTCTATTGGAAGCATGGATCGAAAAAGACGTCTGGCATTGCTCCTATTACTACGTCACCGCCGAAATCGATGCAAAATCACATGACGGTATTGAATCTGTCCTTTAATTTGATTAAGAAATAGTGATGAACAGATTTTTTTGTTAGAATATCAGGAGTTGCTGCTGGATGAAAAGAAGTTTTATAATTTCTTTGGAATGAGTGTGTCCAGCTTCGAATATTTATTAAGTCCTTAGAGCCACATATACGGAAAGAAAAACGCAAAGAAAGAACGAAATTAGCTTGCGTGCTATCAACGCAGCGCACCGTGTGTACACTGGAGAGGGGCAGACTGATGATTTTTCTGTATCAATGACTGCATGACAATGACAAAAAAATATCGATGACGGGAACAATGACAAAATCATCAATGATTTTTATTTGAGTATAACATCACGGCACTTCAATTATGAGTAATGACTAAAGAGTAGATACTGAAATGATAGCGGAACGGTTTAATGGCTTAATGACTTTATCATTAGTTATTTAGTAGTAGGCATGAATCGACTTTGTGAGTTAGCCCGCGAAATTATTATTTTTTTTATTTTGGGACATATATGGCAGTGTATATAGGTATTGATTTATAATCATAGAAATCTTCAATATGTTTTCATTTGTGATATTTGATGCAGGATAATTAAGACTATTGAGTATTTCATGGCAATATGGCGTTCTTGTCTAATCAAAACAATGATTCACGAAATACTAAATAAATGCTAGCGTACTTCTCGTGTTCGCGCAAACGTAAACAACAAAGTGAAAGCACTGTTGCCGTTCCGTGCGCCCAGTAATGCGATCGCGCAGCCACGCAAAAGTCGCAACGTCGCAATTCGAACCGCAGCGCCCGAGCGATACGGTCCGTCCGAATCACCGAAGTTCGCGTTCATTCATTCGATTCGAGTAATGATTTAAAAGCATTAATGATTTTGTCGTTGTCATGGCACGATGAAATTATTTTAAAATATCGATGATTTTAACATGTGACATGATATCGGACTCATTTCTAGTGTACACTACGGTTATTAGTATGTAAAACGACGCAGTGGCAGCGCTACGTCAACGCAACGCGCAGTGTGGACCTGCCCTTAGTTGATGTGGTTAACAGGAGTGTTATTAGTATTAATACCATTGCTAGTATAATTTATGTATTTTCATGAAATCAATTTAACTCTTGAAACCTTGAGATAATTTTAAATATGTACTTTCAAAGATTGCCCTTCACAACCACTACAAAATGGAAAGTTAAGTACGTAGAAGTTGGTAATTTAAAATATTTTATTTTATATAAATCATGAATTGGATCTATTTTTAAAATAAACAAGTGGGATACGGGAAGTAAAGACTGTGTAAGAACATCCGAAGAAGGCGGAGTTATAGCCGAAATAAGAATTTTTATATTTTTGGTTTTTGGCCATTTTGACCCCCTAGGAGTGTAATGAGAACTTTTTGCCCCTATTCAACCATGACCCCCATGACATCATCTACATGATAGGCTATTCAAACTGACTATTCCTAAAGTTCGAGTCACCCCTCAAAGCATTTCTAAAGTTTTTACTTCCAATTATAATGTATTAATTAATTGTTTTCAAATTTCTCACGTAGAACTATATAATCATGTTGAAAAAAAAACCGTATGTCAAACTACGTCAATAACTGACAAGTGATTTGAAATATAAGTAAACAGGTTTCAAATGTCCATTTCATCAAAACCATATGTTTAAACGATATTTAAAAAAGTATCATGTTGGATAACTCCTAGCTTTTTTCATTACTTATATTATATGGAACAGGCAGGGGCTAGTGAAGAAAGACGGGGATTGCCAGAATAATGTATTGTTTCTGTGTAATTATAATCAGAAGAGTAATATAGCAATTATATAGTGCTCTCTTGTTTCAGTTGTTCATGATCAGCGGTGGTTACTTACCATCATGTGAGGCGCATGCTCGTTTGCCTCCTATTTTATAAAAAGAGGCGTAAGTTATAGGGCATACAATAAGCATTTATTATTATAACGTGCACGGTGGACACCTGCGACTTGAGCGGCACGATGTGGTGCGGGACGTACCTTGTCGTCGTGTGCGACGCGCTCGGCGAGGATCTGGTCGCGCACGGTGGACGCCTGCGACTTGAGCGGCACGATGTGGTGCGGGACGTACCTTGTCGTCGTGTGCGACGCGCTCGGCGAGGATCTGGTCGCGCACGGTGGACGCCTGCGACTTGAGCGGCACGATGTGGTGCGGGACGTACCTTGTCGTCGTGTGCGGCGCGCTCCTCGGCGAGGATCTGGTCGCGCACGGTGGACGCCTGCGACTTGTGCGGCACGATCTGGTGCGGGACGTACCTTGTCGTCGTGTGCGGCGCGCTCCTCGGCGAGGATCTGGTCGCGCACGGTGGACGCCTGCGACTTGAGCGGCACGATGTGGTGCGGGACGTACCTTGTCGTCGTGTGCGACGCGCTCGGCGAGGATCTGGTCGCGCACGGTGGACGCCTGCGACTTGAGCGGCACGATGTGGTGCGGGACGTACCTTGTCGTCGTGTGCGGCGCGCTCCTCGGCGAGGATCTGGTCGCGCACGGTGGACGCCTGCGACTTGTGCGGCACGATCTGGTGCGGGACGTACCTTGTCGTCGTGTGCGGCGCGCTCCTCGGCGAGGATCTGGTCGCGCACGGTGGACGCCTGCGACTTGAGCGCCACGATGTGGTGCGGGACGTACCTTGTCGTCGTGTGCGACGCGCTCGGCGAGGATCTGGTCGCGCACGGTGGACGCCTGCGACTTGAGCGGCACGATGTGGTGCGGGACGTACCTTGTCGTCGTGTGCGGCGCGCTCCTCGGCGAGGATCTGGTCGCGCACGGTGGACGCCTGCGACTTGTGCGGCACGATCTGGTGCGGGACGTACCTTGTCGTCGTGTGCGACGCGCTCGGCGAGGATCTGGTCGCGCACGGTGGACGCCTGCGACTTGAGCGGCACGATGTGGTGCGGGACGTACCTTGTCGTCGTGTGCGGCGCGCTCCTCGGCGAGGATCTGGTCGCGCACGGTGGACGCCTGCGACTTGAGCGCCACGATGTGGTGCGGGACGTACCTTGTCGTCGTGTGCGGCGCGCTCCTCGGCGAGGATCTGGTCGCGCACGGTGGACGCCTGCGACTTGAGCGCCACGATGTGGTGCGGGACGTACCTTGTCGTCGTGTGCGACGCGCTCGGCGAGGATCTGGTCGCGCACGGTGGACGCCTGCGACTTGAGCGGCACGATGTGGTGCGGGACGTACCTTGTCGTCGTGTGCGGCGCGCTCCTCGGCGAGGATCTGGTCGCGCACGGTGGACGCCTGCGACTTGTGCGGCACGATCTGGTGCGGGATGTACCTTGTCGTCGTGTGCGACGCGCTCGGCGAGGATCTGGTCGCGCACGGTGGACGCCTGCGACTTGAGCGGCACGATGTGGTGCGGGACGTACCTTGTCGTCGTGTGCGGCGCGCTCCTCGGCGAGGATCTGGTCGCGCACGGTGGACGCCTGCGACTTGAGCGCCACGATGTGGTGCGGGACGTACCTTGTCGTCGTGTGCGGCGCGCTCCTCGGCGAGGATCTGGTCGCGCACGGTGGACGCCTGCGACTTGAGCGCCACGATGTGGTGCGGGACGTACCTTGTCGTCGTGTGCGACGCGCTCGGCGAGGATCTGGTCGCGCACGGTGGACGCCTGCGACTTGAGCGGCACGATGTGGTGCGGGACGTACCTTGTCGTCGTGTGCGGCGCGCTCCTCGGCGAGGATCTGGTCGCGCACGGTGGACGCCTGCGACTTGTGCGGCACGATCTGGTGCGGGACGTACCTTGTCGTCGTGTGCGGCGCGCTCCTCGGCGAGGATCTGGTCGCGCACGGTGGACGCCTGCGACTTGAGCGCCACGATGTGGTGCGGGACGTACCTTGTCGTCGTGTGCGACGCGCTCGGCGAGGATCTGGTCGCGCACGGTGGACGCCTGCGACTTGAGCGGCACGATGTGGTGCGGGACGTACCTTGTCGTCGTGTGCGGCGCGCTCCTCGGCGAGGATCTGGTCGCGCACGGTGGACGCCTGCGACTTGAGCGCCACGATGTGGTGCGGGACGTACCTTGTCGTCGTGTGCGGCGCGCTCCTCGGCGAGGATCTGGTCGCGCACGGTGGACGCCTGCGACTTGAGCGCCACGATGTGGTGCGGGACGTACCTTGTCGTCGTGTGCGGCGCGCTCCTCGGCGAGGATCTGGTCGCGCACGGTGGACGCCTGCGACTTGTGCGGCACGATCTGGTGCGGGACGTACCTTGTCGTCGTGTGCGGCGCGCTCCTCGGCGAGGATCTGGTCGCGCACGGTGGACGCCTGCGACTTGTGCGGCACGATCTGGTGCGGGACGTACCTTGTCGTCGTGTGCGGCGCGCTCCTCGGCGAGGATCTGGTCGCGCACGGTGGACGCCTGCGACTTGTGCGGCACGATGTGGTGCGGGACGTACCTTGTCGTCGTGTGCGGCGCGCTCCTCGGCGAGGATCTGGTCGCGCACGGTGGACGCCTGCGACTTGTGCGGCACGATCTGGTGCGGGACGTACCTTGTCGTCGTGTGCGGCGCGCTCCTCGGCGAGGATCTGGTCGCGCACGGTGGACGCCTGCGACTTGAGCGCCACGATGTGGTGCGGGACGT